TTGGTCTCCCGCCTTCTACTGGTCCTCCTCCTCCCTTAGAGTGTCCACAGCCTGTCCCGTCCGAGTTACAGTTACAGCCGGCCTTCACACTGCCCGCTCCTTCTCCCTACACTGGTCCTACTGGAGGTCTGGCTGAGCGTCGTGAGCCTGCGTCTCGCCCTGCATCGCCTGTCCGTCTTGCTCGCACTAGTGGCCGTGGTTCGCGTCAGCGTCCTCCTCCTGTCCCTGGCACGCACCGGATGTCTCTGTATTCGTCCACTGCTCCTCTGCGTGCCCCTTTGCCTTCTCCTCCTGAGTCCTCTCTTCCTGCTCTTCTCGACCCGGAGTCGGACTCTCTTCGTGCTGCCAGTCCTACTGTCACGCGTCTCCTTGCTACTGTCGTCACTGACCCTTCCTTTGAGTCCACTGCTGCGTCTGCCCTAGTTGCTGAGCTCGTCGACTTTGCTGCTCACTGTCGTCTAGACTACGCTGCTAGTCTTGTCGTTGCGTCTGAGTCTGTCTGTCCTCCGTCCGTCGGGGGTGAGTGTGCCCTTGGCACGGACGTCCTTGAGGACAGGCAGGAGGAGTTCCAGTGTTTGGCTGCTGCTTCACCTCATCTCGTGTCCATACTGCTTACCCCTAAGGGAGACCCGGATGCACTTGACATCCCGACTCCGCGCTCTTACGCGGAGGCGATAGAGGGTCCCTACTCCTCTCAGTGGCAGGCAGCTATGGACACAGAGATGGCTTCCTGGAAGTCCACAGGCACCTACGTTGACGAGGTTCCCCCGCCTGGGGCGAACATCGTCAGTGGCATGTGGATTTTCAGGGTGAAGCGACCGCCGGGTTCTCCGCCTGTCTTCAAGGCACGTTACGTGGCTCGTGGCTTCAGTCAGCGGCAGGGAGTTGACTACTTTCAGACCTTCTCTCCCACCCCGAAGATGACCACTCTTCGGGTACTGCTGCACATAGCTGCTCACCGCGACTACGAGCTGCACTCTCTTGACTTCAGCACTGCTTTCTTGCAGGGCAGCCTGCACGAGGAGATCTGGCTGCGTCGCCCACCTGGCTTCACTGGGTCTTTTCCTCCTGGCACCCAGTGGAGCCTCCGGCGGCCAGTCTACGGTCTCCGCCAGGCACCGCGTGAGTGGCACGACACACTGAGGACTACACTTGCGGCTCTTGGGTTTGCTCCCTCTACTGCCGACCCGTCGCTGTTTCTGCGCACCGACACTTCTTTGCCGCCATTCTACATCCTCGTGTACGTCGACGACTTGGTCTTTGCCACAGCTGACACTACTGGACTCGCCCACGTGAAGTCCGAGCTGCAGAAGAGACACACGTGCACAAACCTGGGTGAACTGCCCAGCTACCTTGGCTTGCAGATCACCCGGGACAGAGCACGCCGCACCATTACCCTGACTCAGTCACACATGGTGCAGCAGGTCCTTCAGCGCTTCGGCTTCACGTACTCCTCGCCTCAGGCCACTCCTCTGCCTACTCGCCACTCGCTCTCAGCTCTGCCTTCGGATGAGTCCGTAGAGTCGAGTGGCCCGTACCCAGAGCTTGTTGGCTGCCTCATGTACCTGATGACCTGCACACGACCTGACCTCGCATACCCTCTTAGCATTCTCGCACGCTATGTTGCTCCTGGGAGACACAGACCGGAGCACATGGCTGCAGCAAAGAGGGTGTTGCGTTACTTGTGCAGTACGTCGGGCATGGGGCTTGTGCTTGGAGGGCAGAGTCCAGTGGTCCTCACTGGGCACGCAGACGCTTCTTGGGCTGACGACCAGGCTACGCAGCGGTCGTCACAGGGTTACACCTTCAGCCTTGGTTCCGGCTCTGTTTCGTGGCGGGCTACCCGCTCGTCTTCTGTTCTCGGCTCCAGTTGTGAGGCTGAGATCTACGCCGGGGCCATGGCTGCACAGGAGCTTCGCTGGCTCACCTAGCTGCTGACTGACCTCGGAGAGCCGCCTCGTTCTCCTCCAGTGCTGTACGTAGACAACAAGGCCATGCTGGCCTTGTGTCGAGAGCAGAGACTGGAGCACAGAACGAAGCACATTGCTCTCCGCTACTTCCTTGCTCGTGAGCTACAGCAGCGTGGTCACCTGCGGCTTGCGTACGTGGCCTCTCAGGCCAACACTGCTGATATCTTCACCAAGGCACTTGCGCCTTGTGATCATCAGCGCTTCTGTACTCAGCTGGGTCTTGTGCCTACCTTGACTCACTTGCTCACCCCTTGACCTTGTTTGTACTGTTGCATATATATATACACCTGCTCTTGCTTGTCTAGCCTTATATATATATGTAATCCTGCATGTGAACTGGCCTTGTGGCCTTGAACTTGTGCTCGGAATGTGTGGTGACTTTGTGATCCACCCTGAGCTTGCTTTGCTTTGCTTGACTGGTCTTGTGACCCCTTGTTCTCCCCCACTTTGCCTATGGGGGTGTGTCAGATTTATATGACATAGCTACTGTAGGCTATAGTGGGGTAGCACATATGGGGTACAGTTTTCTAGGGTTTACATTTGTACCCAACTTTCCCTTAGTCATTTCATTCTCGTTTCTATTCTCACAAATAAAACGGCTGTATTTTTAATATTATGGAGTAAAATACGAGATCGACTTTTAAGTCGTTATATACGCTCAAATGTTGTATTTATAAACTAGTGAAAAAATGCGACCGTATTTGTTCGGTCGATTTCTGAAACCAGTTACATTGATTATTTTAGATTATTAATTTGTTCCAACCTTCGTGCCTCGATTGAGTGTGTGCTCGTGGTTGTCGACTTGCGCCGATGTTTTTCCCAAATCGCCGGTTCCAACGTTTACCAGCAAATTTCGTAACAACATCTAATCCGTTTCAGCGAGTTCCTTGGGCCGTTTTGCACCATTGTACATTCGTTTTTGCAGATACAACGAGATACGTTGATTCTGCTTACCGCGAACTAATCCCGTGACCAATCACAGCAGCCCACCCCCGTTCATTCACACCGAGTTCTTGAAACGCAACTTGTCAACAAGCGAACTCGTCAAGGTGCAAACATTTGCTGTCGCCGTGACATTTGTACCTTGACAGCGCCTCGTCTTGTGGGAGTAGGCATTCAAGACTTGGTAGATAGCGCCTTAGCATAGGAATACGTACTCCATACACTCAAGAAGAGTGGCCGCGCCCCAGCGCCAATGGTTCAACCGACGTCCACCCTCCGTGAACACACAGTTGCCCCGGATGGTACTATTACCCGTTGCGTGTGCATTCATTGCAACGATGCGGTCAGCACAAACGCCACTAGAATAGGAGCGCACCTCTGTGGCACCCCGAACATTGAAATCAAGAACGTCTTGATGTGCATTTTGGAGTATGTAAAGTAGCTTCGAGAAGCGAACGTACAGTCGCGTTCGACTATCAGAGAGGGCTCGACGTCTACACAGTAGCAGGTGTAGTTTCCTCCTCTCCGCACTCGCGGCAGCGGGTCATTCGCGAGATGGCAAATGTGGCTGCTCGCTTGTGGCTGATTTACTTATGGGCAACTGCGGTGGCAGAAAATGGCTGGCTGGCTGCTCGCTTGTGGCAGTGCAGGAGTTTGTGGAGACGCTGCGACAGCATTTGTGAAGCTGTCGAGATGTTGCGACTGAGTATACGCTTCCTTTAGCGTATAGGGTGGCCGGCCCGCTACTCACAAAGCTGGTGGCTGAGGAACTTATCAAACCTTTGAAGGACAACTGGCTTACGAGCGCCTGCACGCTAACTTTTGACGGCAAGGGTCAAAATGACGGTCGTTTTTTAAAAATTAACCGTATAAAACGCTATCGTTTATTTCGGTGGTATAAAACGGTAAAATACGGTTGGCATGTTCATTTTTTGTTTGGTTTGAATACGGTCGTTTAATACGACCGCAATTTTGAAACCGAGTCACACACTAGCGAAACACGAAATTCCCAACCGTCATTCGTGGGGACCGAATTCTGTCCCCACGAATCCAATCGTTTGTGATTTCTTTTCCCGAAGCGCGGATTTCGGCATGTACCCGAAGCGCGACATTTGAGCATTTGGCGAAGTGGTCAACAACGGTTTACCCGTTTCGCTCTGTCGTTTCAGCTGTTCGCCGTTGCGCAATGACTTCAATTTAGCGGGCCGCGACATTCAAACATTTGGCGAATTGACACCAATTGTTTGAATGTTTCGCGTAGCAGCTGCACACTTTCGCGCCCCCAATTTTGGTTTTCGCCCGCATGTGCGACAACCCAACCTTCGCGCTGCGAACTCATTTCAGCCAATCAGAGTTGCACCTGTTCCATTCCTCTCATCACCCCATCCCCAAATTCCACTCGACATTGCTTGCAGAGCCCTTTGCCCCACGAAGGTACTAATATGAGCAGCAGAAACTAGTCAACGCATCCTAGCGTCAGATTTAACTTAGCATTCTCTCACCTCAGTTAAGGCCATGGTGAGACCTTTATCGGACGAATGGAAGCACGTGATCAAGGAGACATCCAACGGCGTAGTTAGTGCGACATGCAAGCATTGCGGAGAAGACGTTACTCCTAACGCGACACGCATGAAGTATCATATTTACGAGACTCCTTCAGACAAGCTTAAGAACGTGACGATGTGCAAGTCGATCGAGGCTGATGCACTCCGTGCGGAAGCCAAACGAGAACGTTCCACCACCGGGGGTTGTGAAAACCGTGCCTCCACGTCCTCGGTTGCACTTCAGCCCGTACGTCATAATAGGCAACGTGACATCCGCGACATGATGGATGATGTTGCCCGCGGACGTCTAGATAACGATCTTGCGTTCAACGTATCTCATTCCAAATCGTTCCAGGCGTTTGTGGACGCGGCCGTCAACCTTGCGAAGCCTTACACTCTCCCCACACCCTACCGAGTCTCGGGCCCGCTGCTTGCCAAACTCAGGGCTGATACGGAAGACCTCGTTCAGCCACTCAAGGACTCTTGGAACAGGAGCGGGTGCTCCCTCTCGGTGGACGGGTAGACGTGCATCAATTCACGAGGCATGGTGTGCGTCATCGCGCTAAACGACACGGCACCCGTCATTGTTGAGGTCGTGGACTCGAAGACTGCAAAGAAGACCGGAGCGTACCTGGCGGGACTTTTTGGCTATGCGGTCCGCTCTGTGGGAGGCCATCACGTCGTCCAAGTCGTGATGGACAACGCCTCCAACAACAAGCGTGCGGCCGAGTTGCTTAAACCCGAAGTTCCCCATGTCTTCTTCACTAATTGCGCCACGCATGTGTTGGACCTCATGTTGCACGACTTCGGGAAGGTTCGGTCGGTGAGACGCGTTCTAACTCAAGTACACCGCGTGGTTATGACGGTGAAGGGCAGCGCCTCCGCAGTTGTGCTTTTCCGCACACTCTTCACGAAGTTGTCGTTGGTCCGGCCCGGTGCAACGCGTTTTGGGACCCAAGTGATCATGGTCGGCCGCTTCTTGGAAGTGAAGAGGGCGCTTAAGGCGATGGTGATTAGTGAGGAGTGGGAGTAGGTGGCTGTGACACGGTCGAAGGAGGGGCAAGCGGTCCGCACGTTCCTACTTGATGATGTGTTTTGGGAACTCGTTGTCGCAGTCCATCGCCTCATGACTCCGGTCTATGAGGTGCTTCGGGCTGTTGACAAACGCTCTCTACTCATGGGGCAGATATATGGCCTCATGTTAGAGGCTACTGTCAAAACGAACGAGGCTGCAGAGGCGGCAGGTAAGCGGCTTACACATGTTGGTTTGCTATATAGTGATTCCCATCCCAAACGAGGCACTGACATGTTCGTTGGGTTCTCTGTCCACAGCGGGACTATTCTTCAAGCGCACTGGCCTTCTGGTGACAAAGGACAAGCCGTCCTTTTTGGCAACCATCAAGGCAATCGTGGCCAAGAGATGGGACGGCCAGCTACACAACCCGTTGCATGCTTTGGGGTGGCTTCTCAACCCCCGAAACCAGTATCAGGATGCGGTGAGAAACGACAAAGAGGTAATGGCAGGGGCGGATGCGGTCATCCAAGCCCGTGGTGGGGACGTGGCTAAGCGCGCATTGTTGTGCGCTCAGCTGGCCCAGTTCCACAAAGGAGAGGGGCAGCTTGGATCACACGACGCTCGTTGGGCGGCCTCGACGTTGGTGGAGGGGGGGCGCTTGACGGATGCCGAATGGTGGTGGATGTATGGTGGGGAGGTCCAGGCGCTTCAGGAGCTGGCTGTGATGACCCTATCACAGCCAGTCACCTCATCTGAGGTGGAACGCTACTGGTCCGCCCTTGCTCGTGTGCAGAGGCGGGACCGGAACCGCCTGGCCGCCACAAAGATGACTGACGTCACCTTTGTGGCCTTCACCAGGCAGGCACGTGAGGCTTTCGATCGCAGGCAGGTTGTGCGTGAGCACCTCTATCGTGACCTGAGCAACGGCACCCTCAAGGACGGCTGCCCCGTTCCCCCGGTCGCACCAGACATTGAGGAAGAGGGGGCTGAAGTAGTGGAGGGAGAGGAGGAAGAATGTACCACCATTAACTGGGCGGAGTTCGGGAGCATTGGGAAGAAGAGCAGGAAGAGGAAGGCGGGAGAGTCCTCCAAGATGAAGAGGAAGGGGAAGGGGAATGGGAAGGGGAAGGGGAAGGGGAAGGGCAAAGTTTCATGCAGGGTTGTGAGGAAGGGAAAAGCTGCAGAGTGGGGGGAGGAGGACGAGGAGGAGGATGACGACGACGAGGAGGAGGAGGAGGAGGAGGAGGAGGAGGAGGAGGAGGAGGAGGAGGAGGAGGAGGAGGAGGAGGAGGAGGAGGAAGAGGAGGAGGAGGATGAGGAGGAGGAGGCTCCGGCGGCGGACAGCAGTGGGCGTGAGGAGGCGGCACCCGCCAAGAACCAAAGGGGCATCGATCCGTGGGATATCAGCGATGGTGATAGTGGGGAGGAGGAAGAGGATGAGGAGGAGGATGACGTGGAGGAGGAAGAAGAGGATCAGTAGGGTATAGTGTAGTGAGGGGTAGAGATGGAATAAGGGGTATAGAGGCGGAGAGGCGGAGAAGGGGAGGAGGATAGAGTGGGGGAAAGGATGAGTTGCTGCCACCAAACCTTCCTCCCCCTCGTCCTCTGCCTCTTCCTCGACCATATCCACGGCCGATGCTCGCTGCCCCAGCGCCATCCGCACTCGCCAACTCACGGCGGCGGAAATCCTCTTGAAGGATAGCTCGCTTCACGTCTTCAAGCGAGAGGCGGGGCAAGTCGCGATTAAGGTTGATGATGAGCGAGGACCATGACTCTGGGAGTAAGGCCAGCAACTTGGTCTTCTTTTGGAGCTCACTGTAGTTCAAATCAGCTCCCTCAAGCCGCGTCAACAAGTCGAAGAATTTCTGCACCCCTTCTTCAACCGCTTCGTTTTCTTCAATTCGTAGTGCCGCCATTTGCCGTTCCAACACCACCGCTACCGCCGCTGTTGCAGGAGCATGTACACCCTTGAGAGCAGCCCATGCCTTTGGTCCTTTCTCTGGTTCACGCTGGAATGGCACGATGTGACGGATCTGACTGCTCCCCAACGCTTGCCCAAGTAAGAGATAGCCTTGTGCGCTCTTCCGCACCCACGGGCTCTTCTCCGGGTCGTTCTCGGGGCGCTTCTCCGTTCCTTCCATCACCTCCAGCAGGTCATAGTGGTCAAAGATGTTCTCCATCTTGAAGGACCATTCAGCAAAGTTGTCACCGTTGAACTTGTCAAGCCCAAACACCCTAGGCTCATCCCTAGGTGGGCCAAGACTTGGTTGCATGGGCGCCATGGCTGAATCACGGGGTTGGCCTTGAGCTTGAGCTTCTCCACTGCCACCAGCACCTCTGCCACCCCTTTCCTCAGGTCCAGACATTGTCGAAACTGCTCCAAGGGGCTCTGATACCACTTGTTATAGTCACAATAGGCTTGAATGTGCCTAAAACGAAAGATAGAGAGCACAGACGGATTTCTGCACAGCGGCTTCAAACGCTGATAGCGTTCTGCTCACAGCTGGAAATGACTTGATTCAAATTGGATCTGGAGCGTCTTCACGTCGTCTACAATTATCAATTTAGATTGCACGATTTGATAAAGAATTGACGACACAGCGTCGGTTTGAACGAACGGTACTATGGCAGCCACTATAGTCTTAGAACACAAGATAGGAAGAGTTACGAGTTGGGAATGACTCCCAGCTCCTACAAACCCCAAGAGCCGAGGTACAGTGATGTGGAACAGTGCCACACTGTCCCCAACCACGAAGGGTCTCGAAACTACCCTTCACTAGGGCCTACACCAAGTGAAATGTTACACTACACAAAGTAATGTAACTATCTTCAATATCTTGAGGTGTACCCTTTTGGCGAGCTTCGAAATCACTTGAGGCTTGACACCAAGGCTCGGGCTCTTCATCACAAACTCATCCTTGAGTTCTTGATGGGTCTGCTGCACACACCTGCGACACGCCGAACGTTCGACACAGGACGAAATAGAAACCGCGCACGACAAAATAGAAACCGCGCGCGAGACACAAACGACCGCGTAACACGCGTCTAGCGATAACTCGCTATTGACTCGACACACACACTCGACATCATGACTCAACATTCACACACAATTATAAGCATGAAATATATATTATCCCATGCCCTCATACCATTCCATACACACACACATTCACGCACACGGACAACAAGCCGAGTGCAAACCGTAGGGTTGCACCAACAGACCATCCGCCACACGGTATGCACTACTACTTGCAGCGGCAAACGCGAGAAGCGGGACGACGGCCAGCACGCGGCAGATAAAGTACAGAGGGACGAACGTCGACTTTCGCGCCATGATGACAATCAAAAAAAGAGGACGCGGCTTTGCAAAGAAACAAATACGTACTCCGTACGGATAGTAAACCTGGTTTTTTTCTAAGCGCCGGCAGTCGAAGGAGGCAGAAAGTATACACAATCGCGAGGTTCACAAACTTTGTGATTGAATCATGCGCCGCAAGTAAGACACTGGTGGAGGGGGCGAGCGCTGAAAAAACAAAATGAGGCGGCCGTAGGCTCTTCTGGAAACTCCACCCTTTGCGCGGAAGCGAGAACCAGAGAAGTAACAGGCTTTGGGGTGATGCTCGGCGACCTCTTGTGAGGGCTTAGACGGCAGCTACGCAAGGGAAGGGAAGGAGGAGCTGGCACGCGATCCCAATCTTATCATCTTATCATCCCATCTACCTATCCCAATCAACCACGTGGTCCCTCGTGCGAACAAACACGATTGGCACATCCTGAAAGTAACAAAACCCGGCTAATCATTGTGCAGGCCGGCTACTACCGTACTAGCCGGCCTGATTCCCGAAATTGGTGCTCAGAAAGTTACATTGGGGTATTGTCAGAGTTACGTTCACGATTGCGGGAAACATACGTTTGGGAGACTTCGAGGCTTGGGTCCGCGTTGTTAGGTTCGGCGCACCTATGTTTTAGTGTTTAGTTTAAGTAGCTTTGAATCTAGGGAAAGTATATGTGGAATAATTTTTCCTTTTACTTACTTCGCACCCGTGCTTAGACGCGTACACGACTATTCACGCCAACAACACCCTACAGTAAAACGTTACCACTCGCGAAACTCGCATCGACAACTGTTCCTGCCAATGTTCTCATCGCAACCCAACCCCACGGTTCGGTTGGTAACCCGCTCTCTCGTCCTCCGCCTCGACAATTCCCAACCTCGGCGCCAGGCCCTGTCAAACATTGTATATGTTTGTGCTTTGTAGGCTGTAGTAGGTTTAGCCTTAGGGGGTACAATCTCTAGGGTTTCATACTTGTACTCCCAACTTTCCTAGTTCAATCATTCTTGTTCTCTCTAAGATTCTAACATGGTATCAGAGCCTAGGTCGTAACCTAGGACCGAAAGATAGGGCCCACCGTTTCCGCATAGTCGCGCCCTAGCGCGCCTCGCCTAGTCGCGCCCTCGTGCGCTCTCCTCTCTCACTCACTATCGCGCGCCCTAGCGCGCCTATCGCGATCGGCCCCGCCTAGCCCGCACGCCCTAGCGTGCCCCGTGCGATCGGCCCCGCCCACCTCGTACGCCCTAGCGTGCGACCCCCGCAGCACCACGCGCGTCGCCTGCCCCGCGCGCCCTTACGTGCCCCGTGCGGCCCCGCGCGCTCGCTGCCCCGCGCGCCCGTGCGCGCCTCTTACGGACCGGCCCCGCCCCTTCTCGCGCGCCCTCGCGTGCCCCGTGCGACCGGCCCACAACCACCCGCACGCCCTTGCGTGCCCCTCGCGTACCGGCCCCGCCCAGCTAGCCCGCCCTTGCGTGCCTCGTACGACCAGGTCCCACCCCACTAGCCCGCCCTTGCGTGCCCCGTGCGACCAGGCCCCGCCCTCGCTATCCCGCCATTTCGTGCCCCGTGCGGACTGGCACCGCTCTGACCTGCACGCCCTCGCGTGCCCCACCTCGAGTAGCCGCCGCCTAGCCGAGCCGAGCCGCCCCACCGAACCGCGTCGCCCGGCCCGAGCCGCGCCGCCCTACCGAGCCGCGCCGCCCTACCGAGCCGCGCCGCCCTGCCGAGCCGCGCCACTGCTGCCCTCACTGCTACTGACGCTACTGCTGTTCCTGCTGCTACTACTGCTACTGCTCTTACTGCAACTATGGCTAGCCCTGCTGTGCTCGCTTTCGATGCTGAGGGCCGCCCGCTGAAGTTTAACACCTGGCTAGATGACTTGCACCTGTTCCTCCAGCTCACTGCCAAGGAGGATATCTCGCTGTACGATCACGCACTAGGACTCGCTGCTGCCCCTGCTGCTACTGCTGACAGTACTGCCCGCTGACAGTGGCAGACTCGTGACGCCCACGCTCGCTTTGCTATTCGCAACTCACTGCCGGTAGATGAGCGCGAGCACTTTGGCCAGCACAAAACTGCGCAGGCACTGTACACTGCTGTAGTTGCACGCTACTCCTCACCTGCCTCTGCTGCGCTAGGCCGTCTCTCACTCCCCTACCTGTTCCCAGACCTGTCCGCTTTCTCCACAGTCGCTGACCTCATCACGCACCTCCGCACTAGTGAGACCCGCTTCCGTGCCGCTATGCCCGCTGAGTTTCTTGCCACCCACCCCCCCCCCCGCTCTGGCTCACTCTCTACCACCTTGTCACCCGTCTCCCTGACTCTCTTCGTGCGGTCAGGGACCACTTCCTCACTCGCTGCCCCACTGAGCTCACCGTTGATCTGCTCGAGAAGGAACTGCTTGCAGCTAAGACTAGCATAGTCGCTGTAGGTGCCTCTCGTGGCGACCCCCGCACCCCTTTCTTCGAGGGGTGTTCCCCTTCCCCCCTTCTCCCCTCTGTCGCCTCTGCTGCTGCTGTCGACCTAGTTGGTACTGAGCAGGTCGGGACTGCGTCCACTCCGAGTTGGCGCCACATCGGCAAGGGCAAAGGGGGCAAGGGAGGTGGAGGTGACGGCGGGGGAGGCGGTGGTGGGGGCGGTGGCGGCAGTGGGGGTGGTGGCGGGGCTGGAGGGGCTAGTGGCAGCGGTGGGGGTGGTGGCGGCAGCGACGGAGGAGGTGGCCGGGGTGGGGGCGGTGGTTGGGGCGGCGGTGGACGCGGCGGCGGCAGGGGCGGTGGTGGTCGAGGTGGTGGTGGCGGAGGTGGTGGTCGTGGAGGCGCTGGCGGTGGCCAGAGCCAACAGCAGACTCCGTCGTCCCAGGAGCTTCGTGAGTGGTACTCTCAGCACGGGGGGGGGGGGGGGGGGGGGTGGCCTTAGCTGCACTTACGTCATCCGCACTGGTGACCGCACTGGCCAGACGTGTGGGAGGGCGCACACCGCGCAGCGCTGCTTCTCCCGCCTCGACGACGCTTGGCGCACTCAGTTCCCTGCTGCCACTGAGCTGCCCCGCTGGGCTGATCTAATGAGGAAGAACATTGATACTTATGCTCTTGACTTTGATGCTATTCTCACTGCCATGTATGTGTTGTCTACTAGTGGAGAGGGTGCT